GGACTTTTGAGCTCAATGTTGCACTACTGGGTAGCAAAGATACGACGGAACGTGTCTACGGCAGAATATCGCACGGGACGCCTAAGGACGGATGGAGCGAGCGCTGGGAACTCGACGAGCGACGTCTCAAACGGTGGGTTCTCTTAAATCGCTTGAATTGCTTGAAGCCCTAACAACAAGCACTTGAACTGGCTTCACAGTTTGTTGATGCACGCAGGCGGATCACTACTCTCAGTTCAACCGAGAGTAGTGATCCGCCTGCGTGGGGAAGAAGGTACGCTAAAACGTGGAAGAATGATTTCCGTCGCCTGTGAATTTTCCGAAGAACGGGTATATATTCATGCCTGTCCTGTGATCCGCCACCTGGGAAGAAAGACGGGGCTCCCTATTGACCGCAAGCAAGTGGGGTGTTTGACCTGACCCAAGGGACTGCGCGCTACTATATGAAACTGCATGCGGCGAGTTCAGACTTCTTATGGATTGAGGGCCTCGATTCTTGAATGACGGCGACGGCGTTACAGCAGAGAGCGCGCATCAGAGTCGCCGGAGCCATGGCCATATATCATGGCAGCGCGTTGTGTACTGACACCTACCTGACATCTACGCCCAGGTTCCTTTCGCCTTTCGCCACTTCGTTATCCGGTCTCCGGACTCGTAAGAGCGCTCTATGCTACCCCGTGCTCCACTCATTCCACTTACTCACGAGAAGCTTCCACCGTCCATGCCGTCCAGGGCCATGCAGGAGAACGCGCCAACCGTAGATGACACCGCAATCTGGTCATCCCTGATTACTCACTGATGAGTGCCTAGTATCTGGCTACTGTAGCATCCGTATTCCTCTTCGGGATACAAAGTGTCATATTCTGTGCGCCCCTACCGTTGAGGCATTCAGAAATTTGCACACACATCTGACCACCCCGAAATCACCGAAGATATTTACGTCAAGTCATCGTCACTGGAGAAACAATGGATCAAAGCCACCGGTCTGTCTTTTAGGGACTCTGCCTATCTCAGACTGACTTGAGAAATACAGTTTACGCCATCTATGTGCTAGACAGTCTTCAGACTGTTAACGTAGCGGCTGCTGGCTGGCAGCTCTCCGTGAAAACACAGGGAGATGGCCAGACATCATTCGACAATCCGGGATGGCCTCTATATACCGTCTATGGGCTAACCGCTCTCGGTAGGTCAACTAGCATCTGGCTGGCACACACTGTAAACGACTCACATTTGCTTGCCATTCACAGTGGCGGCTTCTGCTCAGGCTTTCTACGCGTGGTCAGTCAATCTATGTTTTGGGGTTTGTCGCTCACTGACGGGTGCGCCATCTAGGCGCATATACCTTTTTAGTTCCAATTGGCCCATTCCATTGATTGTCAGCACAGTGAGTACTCTTCCTTCCATTCTGCCGTGGTGCCTCACCGGTTTATGTATGAATGATAATTACTTTCACTCACTTTACTCTCTAGACTGCGTTTGTACAAGCTGGAGCTGCATGGAGCATTGGAATTGAGGTGGGCAATGTCTAGGACAATGTTATCATCACCCACCGAATCTGACGTCAATGAAAGTTTGCATCAACAGAAAGTTTGAAGTCGTTGCACTCTGCCTCTAAACGAGCATCAACCATCGTGAGTAGCTTACGTTGTTCTCTTTGATTTGATCATGTCTGAGAACAGACATGATCTGTAGGTATGGCTTGGGGGAAGCGCTTTTACCGATACGGTGTGTTTGTTGAGCGATGGTATCCAATCCGCCTGGCTGAACGACCTCATAAGATGATTGCTATTTCTATGGCGATACTGGTGAGGCGCATAACACAACCTGGATTCGAAATTGTCCTGCTGACCTTACTCCAACGGAAACCGTCTTAGCTATATAGGGCGAGTCGTGGCAAAATGCGCCCGAATGGCCATGTAGAGAGACTCGTGACGAAGCTTATCCGGCTTAGCATTGAGACGGTGAACACTTTTGCCACTACTGCACTCCCTTGATATTTAAATCCTTGCCCAGGGAGTGATCTGCGTCATGTTCTCTGTGATTGAACTGGTTGTATTCATGTGCTTGCCTGACAGCTACCTGAATCTCTTTTTTGCCTTCGTGTCAAGTAAAAGTGAGTAGGTGGATGGATTCAAGGCACTGACGGTGTACTCTTAACTCATGATGATTCTTTGTAGTCTATGGAGTCGCTCTCTTCGTGAACCTCAATGCGCGAAGAGTGAACTTCATAGAGGCGATCAGTCTTGAGGAACCAAGAGTCCTCACTCTCTCAATCCCGGGCACAGAGCAAGGAACTGGGACAAACATCGTCGAAGAGCTGCGCCGTGACAGCGCCATGGCGTCATCCTGATTAGGAGACCCTGACGATGTTGTCGTTATATGTACGCAGACCTGCTTTGAGTAGATGAATATAGCTTCCGATTTCCGATGATAAAGCTAGATGCGACTTTTACGGTCCGTGGCTCTATGACTTCGAAAGAAGCTCTATGAACGCAGTCGAAGAATGTCTTCCATATAGATACGAGGGACGTGCATCATGCCCGCGCCATTCTCGGATGGTCCGCAGGCGCCGCCATTGTAAGCTTACATCGATCCCATGGCAAGCCCAATACCCAGGATGTACGCCTCCTCTTGTCCGTATCTTCCTCACGTAGAGCCATACTCGTCGATTACACTCCTCGGTGGCACGAACACGCCGAGCGGCTTGTACTCTAGGTCAAACCCGAAGGCGCGCGGACCACCGATTTCAATACCACGCGGCGTGGACGTCCACTTTTCCGAGCCTGTGATGCCGAGTACAAAGACGTGGAGACCATAACGATAGTTGGAGGTGCCGAGCGCTTCGCCACTCGCGGCATCGCATACGCAAAAGAGGTCGGGGACAGATGCAAGCACCTCCTCTGTGTCGTCAGGTTGCACGCGCGTGGCGATGGGGTTCTCGTTTTTGAATGTTATGGTCAGCCTGCCGGCGTCGGAGTCCACGACGGCCACTTCGCCGTATAGGTGACCTTTGACGTTCTTGCGTTCGACGCTGACGATCTTGCCCCTGTCATGTCATACTATGATTAGTATCATCGTGTGTTATGCACGGGATGCAGCAAAGGAGAAACGTACCTGAACAAAACCCGTGCCGTTGTAGGCCCTCCAACGGCTCCAACGGCGTCGACAATGACATTCGCGACAGCATCAAAGTCGCTACGCGCTCGACACAGAGCTACAGCACGTCCGATGCGCCAAGCTAGAGAGACGGTATGCTTCACGGACAAGGCTCTGGTATCCGCGCCGGAGAAAGCGCCCTTCGCGAAGCCTACGGAGGAGCCCATCTCTGCGAGGATGGCACGGAACGCGCGCTCCACCATGCGCTCGGATGTTGCACGGCTCACGACGACCACATTGCTATTGCCGTCGGCAAGTGCGTCCAGGAGCGCGTGCGCCTGGTCGCTACCTAGTACTACAGGTGTCACTTGCCAGGCCGTTGGGTATGCACGTCCCATGAAGTCACCATCGACGACCGGTACGTTCATGTTCGCGGACGCACCGAGCAGGAAAGCTGAAGTCCTTCTTCAGTGACGTATCATCATGAGACGAGGAAGTCGTCTCACCTTGCAAGCCATTCATGCCGCCTATTTCAAGTGTAATCACCGCGTCCGGCTGCGAGCCTATGGCATCCCAGACCGCGCACTGCGATTCCATCATCCTATGCGGTGTTATCAGAAACTACCTCAGAAGTCGACAACTCTTGTGTACGAACTGGTTGCCTGCAAGCTTCTCGATCACTACTGCGGGGGCTGCCCATCCCACACCCCGATGCAATGCTGCACTGTCCTCTGTCCTTGATGTCGTCGACATTGACTACGCGGATTGTGCTTCCTGTGCGTATGACCTCGCGGATGCGTACAAACTCCCCATAGGGAGAACCGCCGCCACCCGAGCCTAAGATGTAACAGCCTGTGGAGATCCACTCCAGATCGCGTTCAGACAGCAACCATTCCCGATTGGGAGTGACAAAGGGCTGATAGGACTCAAGCTGAGACAACGTTGGCACCAGCGGGGTATGTGACGTGGACCGTTTATCGACGGGCTCGTAGAGCTTAGTGTTGAACTCGGGGTCGTCAAGAGCGGCAGGTAGCGGTCCCGGAAAGTCGAAGTCGCCTATGGCCTTGACGACGAAGCGTGCCTTGTTAGCCACATATTGGATAGGAATCACATCGACTCCAGCGAGCTTGATCGTGTCGCGCAGCGCCCCGTTCTCGAATGCACGCTCGGTGGCAAGCTGCGAAACCTCTTCGAGCACCTGCTGTGTAGTCTTCTCAGCTGTAGGCCGAACAGTATCGACTGTACCCGACACGCGCGCTATAGCTTCGATACCGTCAGAAGTGAGCATTCCAGATAACAAGCATGGAAGACGTACCTGCGCCTATGGCATTCGCAACGCCAGAATACGTGGGCTTGATGACCTTGCTCGCTCCTCTAAGCTTGGTTCCGTCTTCGACTAGAACTGCACCCTATATGAGATGTCAGTTTGGCGATTCATAGACAAAAAGGCAGCTTCATACACCGCCGACGAGCAACACATCGATATCCTCCGCCTTTGTCTTCCGCGTCGTATCGCGTGGCATGCTCGAGAAGTCGTCCACACGCTCACGTACATCGGCGGGTACCCTGTCGGCGTTTCCAGTCTGAAGACTCGCAGCCGATTCGGCAACGACGTAGTCGGTGGCTGTCGGGGTACTGTCGCCAAAGACGAAAGCCTTGGTCTGAATTTCAAGGCCGGCGGAGTCCGGCCCGATGGTCAACCTCCCGTCTTTGCGCACGATTGAACCACCGCCGAGACCCATGCTGTCCGTGACAGTCTCAGTAGCTGCTGCACAGGGGATGACACGCAGATAATATACCTCTTGACATCCGGACAAGAGAAGTTCATCCGTATACCGGCTACATCCGTGGTTGCCGCGGCTTGGCGCGGAAGCCCATCGGGCAGTAGCATCCCAACGTCTGTAGTGATCCCACCAATGTCGATGACGAGCATTGGGTTTCGGGTAAGTCCGAGTTCATGGCGAACAAGAAAGGCGGCGCCAGGTAAGTTGAAGGTGCGTATAGGCACGCCAGCAGCAAGGCGTGCGGGTAGTAACGTTCCGTCGTTCTGCGCTAGGAAGACAGGGAAAGCTTCAGAGCGCGAGCTGCTCGTTCGAAAGAGGCGATGGTGGCGCGAGCGAAGGGCAAGATGGAAGCGTTCAGCAGCGCCGCGTTCTCACGCTCGAGGAAGCCGAGATTGGCCGCTGAGTACTGAGTACTGAGTACGAGTCCGTAAAGTCAGGTGGATGTAAGGCAAGTAGAATAGCAGTGACAGACCATTATAGAGAAGAAACTGGGGTATTTCGGTCAGAAAAAAACATGTTCAGATACTTTTGGAAGTCGTGGGTTTTCATGACATATCTAAGCAGACAATGGTCTTACTGATCACCCTGACTGTACAGTACGGGTCTTGACCATCTAATCGATAGGTATCACAAGCCAGGTATGAGTACAGCGAGCTCATGACGAGGATTGGTGACATGCACGGGCGAACGCGCGCGCGTCGTAGCCGCGGTGACGTGTCCGTCACACTCACTGTTCAATAGTGGCAAGTAGAGCTCGTTTCCGTGCGGATTCAAAAGAAATTGAGGAGCTATATGTACAAAGCGATGTCGTATATCATAAAGTCAAAGAATCAAAGCGGGAGAGCAAGTCGAGAATAAAGCAACGGCGCTTTAAGTCTGAACGTTCTGAACGCCGAAGCGAGGACGTTGTAGTACAGCACGATATTGCCGACCATCTCCCGCCGCTCGCGGTTCACGGGCACGATGAAGTCCCGCCGGACGGAGGTGTGCCATTCTTCGCGCGAGGGGACGTAGCGCATGCTGTGAAGTCTATCGAGGATCGTTTGGAGACTTGCGAGGATGTTGCGGTGGAGAGGGACGGGGAAGGGTCCTTTCAGACGCGGTTCGTGTGCGGTTTGCTTGAGGGAGTCTTGTAGCTTGATCAGCTGGAGCTGAAGTGTAATTCCCTGCGATGACATCAGTACGGGAGCAATGTGCAGTGGATGTTGATACGCACATAGCCATGAACTCCTCAACCGAGTTGCTCAGTACCGTCTTCCGACGCCTCGGCACAAGCGCACTCTCCTCCGTCTGCTCTTCGTCATCATCCGAAATTACGATCAACGCCTGCGCATCCTCGGCATTGAGGGAGTTGCTCGCCGCAAGACGCGTAAACAGCCATCCCATGTTCAAGCAGAACCTACACGGGAGAAAGTCAACTTCCGCGAGCGAAGTAGAAGTGAACGTGCACGTACTCTTCAAGCAACTTGCTGAGCTCGCGCCTCGGCGGGCCACCAGAACCGTGATACAGACGCAGCCCACAGGACGCCGACGGTGACAGCGATGAACCGGTGGTATGCAATATCGAGCACAGATATGTCTCGTCTTCTGATGTTGTAGCTGTATCCATGAGTCAGCCCTTTCCCTCCACTTCGGGTAACTCCCAGACGTACCTATACAAGCACGTCAAGTTATACGTGAGGATCACGAAGCGACCCGTAGTCGCATATTGTGGTGTGGCGACGATATAGTAGAAGCACGGGATGCTGAACAGGAAGCCGAAGATGGCGAGGATAACCGGGTGATCGGCGAAGAGGGTGTAGATGCCTGCGGCGACTGCAGCGCCGAAGAGCGTGCCCAACACACGATGCACGCTCAGGACGTTCGTCTGCGATGCGTATCAGTGCATTGATCCTCAGCCGTATGTGCGAATGAGAGAGGCACCGCTCCGAGGGTTGGACTCAACACCACGAAGAACGAGATCAAAGCCCCATTCTCCTCTTGTACTCCATAAACGTCGGCCGTGTCGCCTCAAAGAACGCTGGGGCGGCAAGCATAGCAGTGGCCATCCCAACCTTGACAGCATACTTGACATCGTTTTCGCGTGCTCTCGCACCAACGCGCCACTCCAGCTGTTTCGCACGACCATAGAACGATAACACAGCAGTCGACGGCGTAGACATGGTATTCAGCGCATGCGGGCGGACCTTTGGGAAGTACGCCGCCACGCTGCTTACTGGAGACGCAGAGACGAAGTACTCCGAGAGAGATCGTTGAGACTTGCGGTGATCGGGAATGCCGCCGTTCAAGGCGCGGTATGATGTGGAGGTGGTGGTAGCCGTCTTGCGCTTGTGGGAGTTGTGTCGCCACGGAGCGCGTGCGAGGATGTGTGTGGGCCAGCATTTGTACCACGGAAGAAGGCAACATGGCCCGCGCGCGCGCTCAGCAGCGCAGATACGTGCCATGGCATCGACGAGGTTGACGAGCTCGGCGGCGAACTCCTGGAGCGTTAGTGGCGCCGCTTGGAGGGGGAGGGACGCCGGAGCGAGTGTAGAGCTTGAGGACAGCCTGATTGATCGTGCTCTCGGGCCGGAACAATTGTTTCTCGATCCCGCCCACGAGCTCAAGTAACTCGACCGAGAGCATTTGTGACTCTGTTCGGGTACATGTTGCAAGTTAGCACGGAATTCAGAGAGAAACGGGCGTGTAACGTACGGGACGGGGACGACCTCGCAGTGAATACCTCGCGCACGCGCTTGATCGCGTTCGTGCACGTCCTGCTTAGAGCATGCAGCGGGGGCCCAAGCTCGTCCATAAGATCACCAAACATAACCGCAACGCTCTTGATCATGACCGTCTCCTCGTCTTCCGTCTTGTAGACCATCGAGCCTGCCTTCGTATGGATCGAGCCAGCTTTCGTAGACGCACGTGCCTTAGAAACGCTACGATCGCGGTACGCTCGAGCTATATCGCATTGTAGGGTGATGCCAGATCGCAGACCGTTGAGATGTTGCCCGAGGCGAGTGAGCGCGTCGACAGCATATTCGAGTGGCCTCTTTGTGCCCCCGCGTGGCCCACCGCAGACCACCTCACTCCTGGCCTCCGACAGGTGCCTTTTCAGCGCGGTAAAGCCATACTGATGTGCTGCCACCGCAGCTTGGATGCGGTCGCGGGTGAGCTTGTGAAGAGGCTTTTCGAGTAGGAAGGTATTCGTGAGCGAGCGCAAGAGCGTGCTGTAGGAGTCCAGCGTGGTGATCATAGCGCCTTCGAGCTTCGCCGTCGCGCTCTGCGACCATACGAGGTAGCAAACGGCGTTGGCGACCAGACTTCCGACGAGAACGATGAAGGCGACGCCGATAAGCGTCGGGAGCCCTCCTTCCTTGACCACGACTACGAACAAGATGATAGAGAACATGCTGCAAGCGGTGTTGAATGTCGGTTTCGCCGTGTATGCCGAGGCCGACCCAGAGTATGGCGAGGATATCGGCGAGCCACTCCCAGCCAGCATGCGTCTCGAATGCCCAGTAAAGGTTCATGCTGACTAGCGAGATGAAGGCGACCCAGGTCAAGGAGATGAGACAGTAGATATCTGCTTCGAACATCACTCCGACCGTCTTGGCGGTATTGAAGTATACAGCACTGTTCACAAGGTCAGTCGATCTTGTGGCGTGTGAGTAATATGGAGCACAAACATTGTAGCAACCATATGTCCACTTGGGTTTGGGTACCTTCTCCCGTCCGGCCCGTCATCCTGCATGATGGCCACAAAGTGGCTCAACGCGCGATTGTACGTGAACAAGCTCGCGATAAAGCACGCGATGCTACATTTGAGTATGTTCTTTTGCAGCGGCGGGAGACTGAAGCCGGAAACGGTGTGCACAACTCGTCGCCACAGCGGGACATCGGGCCTTTCTCGTGAACCGTCCGCAGACGACTCAGAGGTTTGAGTATCCTCGTCGTCCGATTGAGAGCTGCCCTCGCCCGCCTCCTCCTCGAACTCGTCATATTCGCCTTCTTCGCTGGGGTCATAACGCTCGTGCGCCACACTCTCGTCAAAGACCGGTCTCGCCGCTCGCGTCGGGGCGTCCGACACGTTATCAATCAAGTTCAGCGCTGGGTCTGCATAGAAGCTGCTCTGGCTACGCATATTCGTCGGGAGTCGTATACTGACAGAGGCCGCCTTGTTCTGTTCGCGGTCGTGCACCATCGTGTCTTCGAACACGGTCCATTCGCGCTGGTGTTCACCGCCACCGAGGCGGGCCTTAACTTCGGACGTCAAGCGCTGCAACGCCGACGGCTGGCGCTGAATCGGTGGTCGTGGCAGTCGGTGGGCAGGCCGGGGAGAGTCCTCTATTTGAATGGTCGTGGGCAGGGCGTTACCAACAGTACCCTGTTCGCATGCGTCGTGACTCTGCGACCCTGAGGGTTCGGCGTTCAAATTGGCGGCTCTTTCGGTTTCGAGTGCTGCCGATGCGGGCGGCGAGCCAACCAACGCTTCGTCTAGAATCGATGGGGTGGCGCTAGACGTCGCCTGAGGAGCATCTGTGCCCTTCAATACGCCGTTTCCCATTGACATTGTGCGTGTGATCTCCCAGGATATCCCGCGGCTCCAGGTCTTCTTCGCGACCCTCAGTTCTCCCCGAGCTGCCGCGAGTAAGCGAGCTTCCTAATCCGACTGAAGGGCCGTGTGAGACAGCGCGCTGAGCAAAAGGAACGTTCAAGATTGAAGGTAGATTGCTAGGGACATGATGCGTAGCGCTAGGTATGGTGCAGGACCGGGAGAGATGGGAAACCGAAACAAGCGCGCGTCGAGCGCAACGCGCACCGCAGCAACTGTGTTTCTCGACGTCATGTTCATCATGCGCCCACCCACGTACCCTCCAACCTTCTCCTTCATCCATGTATACATGACTACCCCAAGCCTCGGACTCATATCGTAGCCTCGTATCCAGGCGTCCACTCCGCTGACCCATCCCGTGTTACGACACAGGCACAAGAACAACGCACATGGAGGCCGCGGATCAAAAGCGGAACGGCTGGATCCGAGCCTAGATGCTCGCCGAACTCGATGTTTCCCAGCGGTGAACGTGCCTTGCGCGTGGAAGGTGTGACTGTGGGGTTCCAGCCGCATCAGCCGACGATGGTGCATAGTACAACACGCCAGTACGATGCGCGGGCTTCCGAGGTGACGCCGAAGAGCCCGAGGATGGCAAACGCGAGGACGGGTGACGTCCATTGTTGGAATTGAAAGGCCCTTCGGACACTATCTCATAGGTAACGCTCTCCGGCTGCCAATTCGTGTGATCGGCAGTCCAGCTAAAGTAGAATGGGAAAGAACCGAAAGATATATTCTCTTTCACGGCCAAAACAATGGCCGCAATGCCAATGGGCAAGGTGAGCAGTATATCGATGCTTACAAGGGCAAGAATGCGGAAGTAGTTCGTGCGGTGCGGGAAACCGAGCTGTTGCTTTGTAGGAAGTGGTTGATCTCCCGATTGTGGAGGTAGAAACTTCGGCTACATAAACTAGAGTGCTGGGCATCAGCATTGCAAGATCAAGGAGCCACCGTACGGACTCATTAGACATACTATCGTAGATAGTGATGGACGCCAGGGGAGGCAACACACTCCATGATTGAATCAATAAGATGTTGAGTACTGATCTGTCGGAGGCGTTGAGGCAGCCAAAACCCTCTTCAACCGCAAATCGAAGTTCCTGGACGATGTAGTCGCCGGGCGGGCTGAGCTCGCGGTAGCGTTCGAGCCATATGCGTACTCACAGAAAGGTCCTGTAACCAAAAGGGGAATGCCCAAACCGAGGGTGCACTCTATTGCAAGATTCCTGCGTCTCTGTTGCTTGAGTCGGAATGAGGGGAATCAGCCATGCACTGCAACTCACCGCCGCTTTCGTAGGAGGTCCTACGGAACGTAGGTTGGTGATCAGATACAACCGGCGAGTGATGATGAGAGTGGCCATGGGTTTGACAACCCCAGTGATAATGTGCATGCGCGAGACTGCTCGGTGTGACGTCAGATCAAGAGTACAGGAAAATTGAACAGCCCAATCGAGGATATACTGGCCGATGTCGCAATAGACATACAATTTGATGTTGGCGTTATCGGACCATATCACAGAGTCGATGTCATCAGTAAGAGTCTCGAAGAAGAGCCAGAAACAGAGAAACGCGATACCGAGATTCTAGCTTCGGCGAATGAAGCTAGTGAGCAGTACGAGAAGTAGCATTGCTGCAGCCAGAAAGCAAGTAATGGGATACAGTGGGTATGTTGGATCCACGGCTGCCATGCCACAGTATGGTCGGTTTGAGCACTGTAGTCCTACTGTGATCTGATTCCAGCAGAAGTACGAATACGCGCCTACGTTCTGACAGCCAATGCATAGAAGATGCACATATCCTGTTGTCGTGAATGCCATGCGTCCCGGTCAGGCCTTAACTGCATACAGCGTGGGCTTGAAGTCAGTGCATATATCGTACCCAGGGGCCATCGCACTTGGCGCATATAGTTCGAGACGTATGTGGATGAACGCACCAAACAACAGTCGTGATATAGAGATGGTAGCCATGCGTCTGAGGAAGAATCCTCTCTTTGTTGTGCATCGTGCATCGGATTCTGGTGTTCATCACGATCATGGGTAACACCACGATAGGTCGAGTCAAGCGCCGTCTGCGCATGTTAGCGGGGTGCGAGTTAGTCCAGATGACCCGGCCTGTTCTGTACGGTGTGCAGTGCGCCACGACAGCCCAGAGTTCGATACGTTCCTCACAACGTGGATACAATATTTGCAACGGGTCTTCCATCAGTGCGCTGACCCACGGTTGAGTAATGCGCGCAAGGAAGCCTCGCATGGTCCACGTACACGCTATATGGCTTGAGCTTGAAGCTTGATGGAGCGCTCGGATGAGCGAGTGATCAGATCTTTAGAGCTCGGCCAGCGCAGGAGCCGTGACCCTTGCGCTCCAGGCAGGAAGGATAACATAGTGATTGAGAACGATCGTGGTGGTCAATAGCAGGAAGGCTCACGCCAGACCCGACCACCATCCGGTTCGGAGCGCGCGGCGTGCGCCGTGCGATATCGATCATGGTTCCGAGTGCATCCCTTGTTGCACACTGTAATCTGCTCTCACGACCACCACCAACGACGACGGACGTCCCATCTAGCGTTCAAACCCACGGTGCACTAGTGAACTCAAGGCGTCGTTCTTCGGAAGGATGGAAATGTAAGGAGCGTAGATAGACGCTATTCTGGCATTGTTGCGAGGAACGGGAGGAAGAGTAGCTCAAGAAGACTTGACTGTCATGGCACGTTATTCGGCTGGGCGAACCTATACAGCTCTATACAGGTGCGTGAAGGACTCCAGACTGGCTCCTGCATATGCTGACGAGCGCCCTCGTAGGTCGGCTCATGTGACCCCACCTACTCTCGAAGATGGATATATACAAGATGCGGACGCGCAGCGTCGATCCATTTCGCTCGCTCACTTGCGCGACGAATGTAGGAAGCTCCCTGTGCTGACGAACTTCGGTGGGCCGAAGCAAGATTGAAAGCTCCCTCTCTATTCTTTCAATCTCAATCTCAATTATCTCAACACTCCTCATGCTCTGGCTGCACCTCGAAAGCTGTATATCGTACATCATACCCACATTTCAACTTTGTGCAGCCACGCACTTCCAGCGCCACCCCCAATTAAGGACTATGCCTGTGGTCGTTATCATTCGACTTATCGGATTGTATCCCTGGGGAGACACCGAAAGCGCGGGCAAGATGTGCCCTTCACGTCGCCGGAGAGACGCGATCCGGCTGCCCTTACCCATAGACTGCGCTATGGCGCGTGATACATTTTTCTTTTCATGCGTTCTCTTCACGCTACTGTTCCCAGCTCGGCTCGGACGCTATCTATGCGAACTCCGAGTGAGACTTCTATCTGAAGCAAGCGTGCTTGAATAAGAGTGCGAGGAGCATCCTTTGCCGTGTCATCTGCCCCGCCCTGAAGTCAGATTGTTCGTCACTTGTGCTGTCCGCGTTCTTCTACATGCCTGCCCAGAGAGACTTCTCTGTGGCTATCGTCGGTGGTGGTATCGTTGGACTGATATGTGCTATAGGCACAGGGCGGGCAGGGGTACAAGTGGACGTGTTCGAAGCTGCGATGAGTGCCACGCACAATTCCTTGAACACAGGAATGGTTCTGACTCTGCTTTCGAGTCCAAGTACCAAGTACGGTGACATCGGTGCAGGGATCGGCGTCCGTCTGTATACACTTTGTTCTGGGTACCGCGAAGGAAGCATCGCTAACGCGCCTGGCAGGTCCTACGGCGGTGAAATGCCTCGAGCTCATGGGTATATTGGACGAAGTGGTGGCGCGCTCGCAAGGTCAAGGGCCATCCATGCGCCTCTTTAGGTTCACTCGCGGAGCAGATTCGCACGACGGGATGTACGAGGTGCGGTCTCTCTCTCACGAACATGCCGAAGTATAACGCTGACTGACGTGTGATACCGCAGCACTCACCAGGAACATAAGTACACTGAGAACGAGACCATGGGTCTCGGGCTTCATCGGTGAGTGCCCATGGGACGTGTTCATCTTCGAGGGCTGAAACTCGATGTTCAGTGCTGCGTTCTTGTAGGCGCTTTCACGAGTGCTGCCGCCTCTCGTCAAGTCCCATTTCAACAAGCGCTGCGTGGGCATCGAGTCTGGCACTACGGCGGCCGACCGTGTCCTCTTGCGCTTCTCGGATGATAGCATGCACGAAGCAGATGTCGTCTTGGGAGCGGATGGGATCAAGAGCACCGTTCGTATGCAGTGTAAGCGTCTGCTTCTGAGCTGCGAGTGAAGACTATACTGACAGCTGTTAGTGTTCGGTGCGAAGGGCGATCGCCTCGTGGACACTGGAACGCGCGCGTATAGGGGTCTTATCCCTGCTCAGTGCTCAGCGCCTACGAGATGCAGGTATCAAGGACGAGATGCTGAGACCATGGCCGCGAGGTTGGTTGGGCAGAGATCAGGTGCGCCTTCTGCAGCTTCGCACTTGCAAGTGCGCGCGCTGATGTCGCTTCCTGTAGAGCATATTATCAGCTACCCCATTCAAGACGGATCCATACACAACGTCGTCGCCTTCTCAACCGACTTCGCCAATGCAATGGTTCCCGCGGGCCCCAATCGTCATGGACGACATGGGTAACGCCCGTGACGCGTGAAGAGACCCTGGAAGAGTTCAAGAACTTCGGCCGTGACGCGCGCACGATGCTTCAATGCATCGAGGCTCCAAGCAAATGGGCCGTCCACGGCTTATACCTACCGCTCGAGACATACGTCGCTGCCTGCTGTCGGAGAAGGGGTGAGGCTTAATGTGGCTCTTATCGGTGATGCGGCGCACGCAATGTTGCCCCATCTCGGCTCGGGGCGCGGGTACCGGGATCGAGGATGCATACGTATTGGCGAGCTTGCTTGGGCACTCGCAAACGAGGCGGAGTAACCTCTCTGTGCGTCATGACCCTCTGGATCGGAACATCCGTTACTGACCCGACCTTCTATCATCAGGACGTCTTGTGCGCGTACGATCAAGTACGTGTGCCAAGAGGGTCGCTCATCGCCAGCGCCAGTAAGCGCGCAGGCACGTATACGAAGGTCATGGCCCGAGCGGTCCGAGCGATGAAGGGCGCAGGAAGGACCTCGATCTACAGTGGGAGCCGATCTGGCGACATCGCGCTGATGTGGTGGGAACGTTGGTGAAGGGTGGCGCGTTCAGGCGGGAGGAGGGGGCATTGTCATAAGATACAACTGGTGTCATTATGCTAGATCGCGCCATAGTATTCGTATCGTGTTGAACGAGGCCAGACCCACGTCGTACAAAGTGTAACAAAGAGCTATAGCCCTGCCTACTTGCTCAAAGCCGAATCGCTATCGTACAACAAATCGTTGCTTGACAGCTGCTTGCAAAACGATAGGCCACCTGGGGGTCCTACACATACAGCCCGTTTGCACCGCTTTGCACCACCCGTGCCACAGCGGCGTTGGCCGCGATTCTCGCTCAGGCTGATTTGCAAGTCCTTCGTACCATACAAATTAACCGGTTATCACGATGTGCGACCCTCAGCCTCCGCACAAGGATACCGTGCCAAAACCGCTGCCTCATAGGGAAGGCTAGGTTTTTGGTTGTTAAAGCCCGGATGAGCCGTTTCGCTTCGTGTCATTTCCACGTGAGCGGACGACGCGAAGTGGCGCCCGGCTCTCTGTGTGTAGGACCCCCAGGTGGCCTATAGTTTTGCAAGCAGCTGGAAAGCTCTCCGTCCGAGTTCAGCAGCGCCCAGTCAGCCTCGATCCCATTGTGGGATAAGTTCGCCACCTTGGCTCCGTGTTCACGCAGGAATGCGACGACCTCCTTCGCGCTACGTCATCCCGTCGGACCAGGCGTCGGTACGACAGCATCGGGCGAGTCTTCGATAGGCGCGTCGTCTACGGTGCCACCGTACGCACGGGCTAGATGTGCAGATGCGCGCACACGCACGGCCAGGGAGCGCTCGAGTGTACCGAAGAAAGCTGCGAGAGCGGATGCGGCCTCCACCCGTGTGCGCAGAACGTGGCGCATTACACGCCCGGAGCGCGGGCGCCTACGGCGTGATTGAACCGGCGGCTCGTGGGGCACGCCGCTATGCATCGTACTCGGCGATACTGCGACCTTCGGTGCTTCGGTTGGCGTCGAGGTGCCCTTGTTGACCCATGGGTTGGGTGGAGGCTTGGGGGTGGTGGTGTACTGTTGTTGTGCGGTGATAGAGTATTCCCAGCGCTTCGGGGCCCAGATGCTGACGCGCCAAGTGGCCTGGATACGCCTCATGCGCATGTACACGTCTGAGGGTTGGATCAGCGCCAGGGCTATACCGAAAGAGTGAGGAATGTACCCTTCACGAGTATGGTATGGTAGTAGGCTAGTAAGGATACAAGGCCCAGTGAGATCATGGCACCAATGGGAGAGTAATAGAGGAAAGCCCAGAGAAGGACGAAAGCGGTGGGATAGGCCAGTAGAACGCAGAGCAAGCCGAAGATGACTTTGTTCTGTGCCTGCGTCTCTTCCTCATCCTCGACCAAGCGGGCTCCCAAGCGACCCATGACGTATGCCGGAGCGTGTATGAAGAGAGGTAGCACGAAGAATGGGAGTAGAGCGAGGCTGGTAATGGTGTCGCGAATCAGAACGAGTAGTGTTTTGAGGCGACCGGGCAGAGGAACTGGGCGGCTCGGATCGAGGGTGCTGGGAAGGGGTAGCGACGCCAAAACAGCGTTGGTGAGATGTGTAGACTGCAGAAGCGCATAGTACTCGAGAAGAGCGCGCTTGACATGCTTGAAGTCGGTGGTCACGTCCGGAGTCGCGAACAAGTCGACCAAGCTGATAGTTCATTCAGCTAAGTTCGATCCACTGATGTCCCATAGGAACGTACGTTTGTGACACGGGAACGTAGTTCTCGAGAGCCAAGCTCGACTCGTCCGGCCAAAGGAGGTCGCGCGCCATGCGCGCCGCATATAGAGTATCCCTACCGATCTTCAGTCTTCAACCCGTATGAGACAACCTCACGCTTACCAGTCTGGAGCATTCAGCGTCTTCTCGACGAGTTCAGCCTCGATCTTCTGCGTCAGCCTCTTGGCGGCCAGACGGGCTTGTCCTTCTTCCGGCGAGAGGAATTGTTCCATGTAAGGGTCCATCGAGATGGGGTCGCCATAGCTTGGGGCCATATTAGTGGGATCCCCATCAGCTCGATGAGCGACTCACTGCACGATGACCTGCAGAGGGATGACTACGCATGCATAACATAATGGGCATCGCACTCACGGAACTACGGTACTTCGACTTGTTCGTGTAAACGATGGCAGAAGGTACGACTACGATGGGTAACTTGCTGGCCTTGTCCGGATTCTCCTTCGCCCATTTCGCGTATTCAAGTGCGGCGTATGAGGCGCCATCTTTGATCTGCATAATGCGCGGTTCCGTATAGCTGGTGCCTTCCGGAAAGAGTCCTACAGAGGCGCCCTTCGCTAGCGCGTCGAGGGTTCCCTTCAATAGCTGTCTCCGGTCCTTCGCTTTGCGGTCGACGGGAATGTTGCAAGTGCTGACAAGGATGTACCGAACGACGGGATTAACGAACAAGGTTGACTTGCTCCAGTAGTGTAGAATACGTTGGTGCGGAAACGTCGATGCTAGCGCGAATGGCATAAGTATGAACCAACGAAACTGCGAAAAAGGGCATACATAGAACTGCAGGGTCAAGCATCATGTTGTGGTGAGTCGCTGTCCTGGAATGGCGATTAGCACAGAAGGCCCTCAGACACCATGCAGAGCTATCCGGTGGCGCGCAGATCATACGCAGGTGATCATACAGCCAGCTTGCATGCTGAAGCAACGCGAAGCACACGAGCAAGATAACGCGTCTGAGATATTCGCAGAGGTCGACGGCAATATCCACTGCAGAACATTCTTTACGATCCCTCGGTACTGGAAATACACTCACGCGATGAGGGGACCTTCGCGTGGTACATTGTCGCCGCCAATGATCAAGACATCAGCAAAGAATGAGTGTACCGCCCAGCTCGCCAGTTGACGAATAATCCTATGCAGGATCCTAGGATCCTCCATCGCAGACCGGCGCGAGCAAAGAGATGATGGTGGTTGAGGACCAAGAGGCGAACAACAAGACCTGAGACTGCCGCGACGGTGCTGGCGCGCGTCAGGGCTGCCTGACGCGCACACGCCGCACGAAATGGGCGCGTGAGAATGATTTGCCCTTTGCGTTGAACGCGTTTCGCGACTGTTGGACACGTCGCGCGCGCGCTTGCAACGCGTCTGCCTTCCTGCCTTCGCCACTCATCCTGGTCTCCCAGGCGACTTCAATACTATGCATACCATATATGCTAGGATAAATAATATCTCGGCAACATTGTCGACATGTCTGATGGTGCTGTTGACTGCCATTGCGGCGTCATCGTTCATATTTTACGCCGATCCTAAAGGCACCCTGGACATCAAGTCGTTCAAAGTGTACGCAGCGTGAAATGGTAGCGAGGAAGGCTCTCTCAAGTCTAGCTACAGGATCAACACGCATACACCTCGCATACGCTACACTAAGCTCGATCAAGGCCGCGTGAACTTCAACACCGAAGCTGGTCTGTACAGCCGTCTTTTCTATTCGGATGCATGCTGAAGTCCCCTTGAAGATCTCCGACCGTTATTCAACTGGAACACGAAGCAGCTATTTGTCTGGATGCAAGCGGAGTACACGAACTCACGTGGGGTAAGTCTAAACGAAGCTACAGTGTTTTCGATCGTCCCGTCCCGGTGCTGATCGGCGTCTAGGTTCAGAATGAGGTCGTCATGTGGGACCGAATTGTCAAGCGCAAGGAGGACGCTCTGCTAGACCTTCGCGGACGTAACAAGTACTATTGGCATGATCTCGTCCGAAGCTTCAAGTACGTTTGCCCCCTCGATGACGTCTAATACCCATATACTAACCTTCCTTCACAGCGGCTCGGAACCCGTCACCTTCTCACTGAAGTATAATATCATGCCATATGTCGGTCTTCTGACAATGGGTGAAGCTGCACGCACTACAGAACCTCTCCCTTTCCCTCCCGCGCAAGCGCCAACGGATTAACCGTATGACTGTCTGTGTATCTTTATAATCTATAGGGTGCCCTCGCGCTATCGCATTACGATGTGCGCCTTCCAACGTGCGGGGCGATGGGAACTCTACCGAGTTTGAGTCTAGGTCGTAATGACGCTGGACAGCGGCATACGCTTGTGGCGCAACGACCCCCTATCGAAAAGTATACGAGCCCCTGATGCTCGATGATTGGACTAGTCTTTTAGTCAAACCTTCTGATTGACTTCGAACGGAAAGACAGGCGGAAAGACGAACGCGAAGAACGCAAGCATCACGCGTGCATCTGGGTTGTTGAATATTTCTTCCTTTTGTTCTGCCTCGGAGGCCGAAACCCGAGCAGACCGTTACATCGCGCATGCGCCTGGTGGACCGATGGACTGTGCAACTGCCAGTACTATTGATACTGACAGCTGCTGAAAGGTCAGTGGTACCCGCTCATCAGATACGATGACCTTGCGCTCATGCTTGGCTTCGTGATAGGCGAATCGAGGTGTAACGGGAGGCCAGGTCAACTCGGGCTCCGCCTTTCAGCGCGAATGCGCTATCTAGTCTGGTCCTATTTCATCCTGGACTGTCTAGCTTACATCGGAAGACTCACCTAGCGTGTCACCTTATCGGGGGAGCTAGACTACTGGATAAACTCTAGATACTGCTCCTTCATGAGCTGGGTTAGGGCTATACGTTCCCCGGGCCACGGCCACGGGCCCCTTTCCCCTGCTTTCGTCTTCGGATCTCCAACAGCCATTGGCCGGATGTATGTCTTCCTGAACACCTGGTCCTTGGACAGCATGCTTATTGACGTACACTCGTTACAGCGGATGATCTTCCGCGCCGGAAGCCCACACTCACTAGAACACCCGATCATACCTCGACGGCTGCCGGCGCTCGAGATGAGCGTATGCTTGGTGGTCCCTATATGCGCCCGATTATACCCGTTAAGCTTCGCAAGTCTACACTCACAAGTCGGTGCACGGGGGACACGCTCAGGCAACCGCTCTATCTTCAGCAAGACACGAGCTTTCGGAGGAACAAGCCACTTAGAACTACCGAGCTGAGGTGCGCTCTAAGTGCGACTTCTTTACTCTGGTCCGATTCGGTAGCCTCAGCACTTGAGCACGCTGGCGAGGCGAGCCTAAAAAACTTCTGGACCAACAAGTGCGCTGACCGTGGTCCACCGGCTCCCTCTGTAATGCCCTGCCGTGATGTGTTCTGCGCGGTATGAACCTTCGTCATCACCGGCAGCTTCGTTTTCGAAGTCTTCGACTTGATCTGCACAATTTACGGCGGCCCACCTTATGCTCTTGGTGTTCTTCCTCATACGATCCGGCCTGTAATTGCGTGTCAGCGGGCTTCGCCTTCTCGTGAGTGAGACGCCTTCTATTCAACTTACGATCGTACTCATTCTCAAACCGCTCCCTTTCAGCACAGACTCGGACTTGGGGTTGGATCTGTTCCCTGCGCAGTATCGCACAACGTGTATTCTATAGGAGACGCTGCGTGAACGGGCGCGCGTGGGAGTGACGATAGGGTGGATTGTTCCCTGATCCACGGACCCCATCTTCCAAGCCCGA